AGCCCAGGGAAAAAAAAAATGAACGCAAACCTAAAAAAATCTAAGAAATAGATAAATATCTTTCTCCAAAGCTAGAAAACAGAAAACAAATTCCAGAGTGCTATGATTACTTACAAAACACAAAAAAAAATAAAACAAAACCAGAATTCATAGTAGAGCGCACGACAGAAGAAAACCAGACCTTCCTTCAAGCCTGTAAGATTCAGTCTAATATGTGAATTAGACCTTAAAGAATAACTGCATCTTTAAAACAGGTCAAAGCTTCAAGCTGTAGTTCAGGCATTTGTATGGAGAGTTCCATAAAGCTCACTGGGAGTAGCAGCACTTCAACCAAAGAAATATAGACCTGAAGTTCTCAATTGTATTTACAGTGAGAAGGGGAAGCCAGGCCAGCACGAGAGCTCTCCAGGATGGATGCGTTTCCATAGAGCTACTCACTTCTCAAGGCAACACAATAAACCCTGTAACAGACCATAATTGGATTTCCATAGCAGAATCTTCACATTCTGATATTATTATGATTCAATTTCTCAAGTTGCTGGGACATATTTCTCTGAGGGTCTCACAAAGACCATTTTTCTTAACTGCTGTGGGACTCCAGCAGACAGCAGAGCGCTGGGTAACAGATGACACGCTTACTGGTTTGTAATATCAAAAGGCGGCTTGCACTGGTTTTGCTTTCCAATTTGTTTAATTTTGCAGATCTGTGGATATGCACAATTAAATAAAACCTTCTCTTCCCTCCGTCTAATGTATAGCTATGATTCACGTCCGAAACAGCCCCCCAAAATGTTCACAGACTCCACTACAAGAGCAACTGTTGATACACAACAAATCACAGAATCACAGCATGGCAGGAGTTGGAAGGGACCTCTGTGGGTCACCCAGTCCAACCCCCTGCCCAAGCAGGGTCACCCAGAGCAGGCTGCACAGGACCGCGTCCAGGCGGGGCTGGAATATCTCCAGAGAAGGAGACTCCACAGCCTCCCTGGGCAGCCTGGGCCAGGGCTCCGTCACCCTCAGAGGGAAGAAGTTCTTCTTCATGTTCAGCTGGAGCTTCCTCTGCTTCAGTTTGTGCCCATTGCCCCTTGTCCTGTCACTGGGCACCACTGGAAAGAGTCTGGCCCCGTCCTCCTGACACCCACCCTGCAGATATTTCTAGGCATTTCTAAGGTCCCCTCTTAGCCTTCTCTCCTTCAGGCTAAACAAGCCCAGCTCCCTCAGCCTCTCCTCGTAGGTCTTTATTCCAAAGAGTCTACAATTTCAACTGAATGAAAAAGAAAAAAGATGAAAAACTCTAATTGCTATCTTCTCATCCTAAAAGTGGCAAAAGATGCTTCCGGCTGAGTAAAAGATGAAACTGAGGGTGCCGAGTATGGGTCTGACCGCTCAACGAAGCAATCCTCTTCCCTCTCCTACAGCCTTTTAGTGGAGAGGGAGCTGAAGAACACAGTTAAGTAACAGAGCACTAATTGTACACCTGTGTTTGTCTATTTAAGCCTAAGAAGGGTAAAAAAGTCCAGAAAACCTGCAAACCTCACGCAGCCCTACCAAGCTACGGAGGCGGACGGGGCAGGTCGAGCTTCCAGGGACACCCGTGAGCTTCATCCGGCGCCCCATCCTCCGACATTTAAAACAGTAAGAGCGCTGCAAAGAGCAGCTGCCCCAGAGGCATCCCCAGAAAACAGTGGCCTTCGCAACACAGCGCATCACCGAGAGCAAACGTCGCGGGTCTTCGGGAGCCCAGCACTGCTGCAGCGTGCACCGGCATCGCCCCGCGGGCACGCAGCGGTGAACCTCGGCTGCCTCAGAGGAGGTGTTCCGCCGGCTTTCTGAACAGACCAGCACCAGCGCAAAGCAGGTTTTTTTTTTTACTGTTTTACACCATACGATGCAGATGAATGATACCAAAAACTGAAGAGACTAGATTAAGAGACATACGTGCATGTATGTCTGCGTACATATGTGTATATATATAAATATCGCTCTTCAGCCCTCTCCCAAATGTTGCAAGAACTGAAATAATTACACTGTTCACAACTTTAATTAAAAGACTCTGGTTTTGCTACTTTTCAAGAGCCTTTTCTTTTTTAAACGTTGGGGGAAAAGTATAGCATCGGATGTAACAAACTGCTCTGACTTGCGCAGCTCTGGAAATTTCAGAAACGCGTTTGAATTTGCTATTCATGTTTTCTATAAGTTTCTTCAAATCACAGGCGAAATTGTAATGAAAATCCAGACCGTGGATTTTCAGTGTATCACAGTACTGTGATCTGGCTATCACAGCAGCCATTTACTGCAACCTCCTGGTGCGCTGCCTTGGCAGTAAATCACACTTTTGTTCAGAACTCTAAGGAATATTTTCCCTTTCCAACACCCATCCAGGAAAGGCAATTTACTTTTTTTCTGCAAAATTCAGCCCCTCAACTTTCAAACTTCTCTCAAAGATATGCTGTGATACCACAAGTCATCCAGAAGTCTGTTTGGATTTAGGAAATGAATTTTGCCTGGACAGCCCTCAAATCCAGGCAATCCTCATCAGGCTCACGGGGTATCTGCTCTGTGGAAAGCACAGACCTCTATTTATCACACAGGTTATTCCTCTTGCAAAGAAAGCTGAAGGAAACAGAAACAAAGAGAAATTGTTCAAAACAAATGTCTTTGTAGCTACGGTCCCTCCACAACGTATTCCTACAATTAAAAAAAGAGAGATTTTTATAATAACTGTGTTCACGGTGGAAACTACTTTCCTGATTATCAGATTCTTTATGTCTCAGTGACATGAGGAGTCATTTTATGTTAGCATACAGATGTACATATTTGCAAAGGAAATGGCAAATTTCTAATCAGGATTCACCCGCTGCCAGACTCTGTGTGAGGAGATACCAGCAACTGTCAACAGAGTGTCAAGCGAAATTATGCAACGTGCAAGGTAAACGGAGGGAAAGATCATTTGGGAGACATTATTAATCATGTTAAATACACACAGCAACACTAAAAGCCTGACTTTCAAAGGCCTGGAGGTGCCTAATGAGAATTTTAAAACTGCCTTTCTAGCAGTACCGCAACACGGCGGGCAGCACCTCGCCGCACCCGCCTACCTCCGAAACGATCGCTTTACGCTTCTACCTCCAAATCGAGAAGTAACCTCCCGAAGCGGCGGGATGAGCCAAGGGTCTGCAGGGAGCAACGCCATCCCCGCATATCCGAGATTAACGCAGCAGTTACAGCAGATCTCCGATTGCAGCTGCCTTCAGGTCAGGCCCTGAAAGCGGCAGAACTGGAATTTCTACACATCCACCCACACCTCTGCTTCGTGCTGGCTCCCGGCGCACGCATTTCCGGGGCTCAGACATGCGCCTGTGGCTTCAGCCCACATCATCCACTTGTTCTCCTCTTCCCCAGTGGAAATAAGAGCAGGGAAATAACTTCAGCGACACGTATATGGGCATCTCCATCACACCTACGCAGAGATTTCTGCCCCGTCGGCGGGCAGCAGGGCTCAAGTCTCTCCTGCAGCCGTCTGCCACGGCACAGCCACCAAGCCAGGGCGTTTCTAGGGCTCTGGGATTCTCCAGGTGTTCCTAGGAAAAGGGTTCTGCGATGTTCCAGCTTGATCTGAAAGGAAGGGACTGGGCTGAGCTGGGCAGAGTGGCTCAAAACACAGGTCAAAGAGCACGGAGTGTCGTCAAAGCGTCTCAGGGCAGCTTTGGAGCACTACGTGGAGTCAGCCCATAAAAAAAACAAATAGAAGGGAAAAAATCCTGGATTTTGTTTTACTTTGAACCAAGCCAGGCCTTACCGAGCAAAATCACAAATATTAACAGGTAAGTGTGGAGGATTCACCCTTGCGACCAAACCAGGGAGCCAAGCTTTTGACAGCACCGACACACTTGCAATTTCACGCAACTCCTCTATTTTTTTCCTTTTAAATTTGCTGTTTCTTTCTTGGTTCATAACAGAGATATACCCTTTCAAAGACAAAGGGTAAACACTGCATTTGAAAAATGCAATAAAAATCCATTTGCCTTTTTTTCCCCCCACCAAAAGCAAACCATTAGCATAGCGATGCCCAGGCCGTCCTTTTCCTCCCCACGGGCAGGCTCTGATGCTTCAGCAACACAAAGAGCAGAATACAAATCAGCTCCTCCTTCCATGACATCCCATGATTTCAGCTGAGAGCAATTTACGTAAGATGTATTTCTTCGGCTGGGAATACGCAGCACCAGTGCTCCTTATTGTCCTGGACATTTCACCCACTAAACCATTAGTTTCCTCTGCGGACAGAAGTAAATAGCACAATTTGTTCTCACAGAAGACTAGCTGTTTCTGAAATGTGAAGAAGCTCACGGCAAATGGGCAGAATGTTAGGAATAAATAAGAAAAGTGAGGCAGCAGAAATAAATCTTCTGCCATGACTTCTCTCATTCATTTCAATGGGAAACAGTCTTTGCTGTTGCTTGCAGGAATCAAGACACAGCAAAGTTTCCAAGTTCCAGAGAACATATCTTCAGTTCACCGGTACCTTCCTACACAGATTTGAAATACAAACTTCTTTAAAGAAAAATGTGAAGACACAGGCTTTCAAAAACAGCTAGCAATTTAAGAAAATTATACCAGCAAGGGAAGAAAAGATGTATGCTATAGCCATACAAACAATAAATTGCTTTAAACATGTAAGTAAACCAATGAAAACACTAAATCTTCTCCTATTTTTCAGAAAGCTAGTGCTACACCAAGGCAGGAGTTAAATAGTATGTATTGTATCTGATCTTACAAACCAGTTTAATCTCAGTCCCGCTTCAGAAGTCTCAAACTCCATCTGCCAAAAGATTCACCTTTTTCAGGTACGATGTCACGATTCTCCCTCGCTTATAGCAGAGATTTCCCTGTGCAGTTAATCTAAAGCTCTCAAGATGCTCAAGAGAGATGAAAATGGTAAGACAACTCTCTTGACGCTTCTCAATTTATGAGGCAGATTCAGCACCAGTGCAGGTGACAAACCTGCCCAGCTAGGTTTCAGTTGGGAATTTCCTGAGCAAAAGCAGAAGCAAGATGCCTCACTTGTCTGAATTCTTCCTGAACTTTCAGACGATATAGTGATCTAGACAGTTTTTCCCAGAAGATCTTGCAATGGTCATACTGGGGAGACCCAAAGCGGGGCTATCATCAAAGCTGCACAATCAGAGAGAAAAGGAAGTAGCAGGCAAACAAAACTCTGGTTGGAAACATTGGTTTCTAAGTGTTTCTGGATTTCAGCTGATGCCAGGTAGAAGACGGCTCAGGTCAATTAGGATCACAAGTATATCTTAAGATGTTAAGATCCGATCTCCCACCCCAAGTAAAAAGCTCCGGTGCCCTTCCCCGTGCATGGGAGCTGCTCCTTCCCACCACCACCTACAGATGCCTCACCCCTCTGCGCAGCCAACACAATGGGACCTGCAACATCCACCTCTGGTGTCCGAAGTCAATCTCTTATCGAAAAGGGTCTTTAAATTCAGGTTTTCCCCATCTTTTGAGGCCAGAGAGGAATTAAAAGAAACATTCATGAGCAAACGTGTCCAAAGAAGGTGGTCCCTCAGAAACATTTTACTTCAGTAACTGAAGTACATGAGTTTGTTGAATAATTTCTGATTTGTTCTCCTCAATATATGCTGTGATTCCACTTCCCAAACAGCATTTTCATTCGCAACCTGACAAACTGATTGATCATTCTTGTTATCTGTCTCAGGGCTTCTTCGCTGAATTCTGAAGAGAAGTTATAGAGTGAAATAAACCCAGAAGATAAAGTGATCGAAATTAGGAACCTTCAGATTTAAGACCAAATTACAACACTTTGCCTTTTTCTCGAACTTTCAGGCAGCAGGGATGTGAGCATCACACAGGTGCTGAAGTGCCGTGACTTGGATGTCACCAAGCAGAGTGACGCGTAAGTTACATTAAAAATAACCAATTTAAACTTTCAAAACATTTCACACTCGTATTCAATACCTTAGCAACCATGTTCCTGCCTTTTATATTAAAGCAGAGTTAAATTTAGATTCCTTTAGCATCAGAGGGCAAAACAGGTGACTGTAAATACGGTATGTGTTGGCGAGAGTCAGCCCACACCTACCTATGAAGATGGAAGCTGACATCGTGTATGCCCGAAGGAATCAGTGGCAGGCACCAGTTACGCGCTGCTTCTCATTAGATGCCCTCTGAACACGGACACATTTAGTAATCTGGCCCATAAACTTTAATGATTATTCAATTAATTTTCATATTCAAGAGAGCGCCCGGCACGAGCCCCATTAAACCTTTTGTGCGCAATAACGTTGCCAGCCAGCCTCGAGCCAACGCGCCCCGCGAGCCGCCGCGGCCAGCGCACAGCTATTTCTATGACAGCGACTGCTGAGGGAAAAGCAACGCCACGTCACAATGGTGGCTTTCCACAGCACACTGAAACACAGCCTCATCATTCACAGGCTTTGACAGACCTACAGGATCCTACAGCAGGAAGACAAGATTCTCCTATCTCTCCATACAAAGAAGTCGCCTTTCCAGAGTTCTGCAGTCAATAAAATATCACTGAATGCAGGATGCCCAGTGCCAGCACTGGTACCAGTTCACAGCAGACCTAAGCACCAGGCGTGAAAGTGGGGCGTAACCACAGAATCACAGCATGGTCGGGGTTGGAAGGGACCTCTGTGGGTCATCCAGCCCAACCCCCTGCCCAAGCAGGGTCACCCAGAGCAGGCTGCACAGCACCACGTCCAGGCGGGGCTGGGATATCTCCACGGAGACTCCACAACCTCCCTGGCAAACTGGGCCAGGGCGCCGTCACCCTCAGAGGG